ATGGAAGAATATCATTTCTCTGGACTCCTGGCACATCACTCAGAATGTTCTAGAAATCACAACATAAATTTGAATTATTTTGTGGAATGAACTTACCTATTAAAACAGTTTCAAGACTGACCCAATGATGGATGTATTACCCTACATCTGAACACTGCTCAGCTATGCTTTCACACAGATTTTCTCACTTAATTCTCACGATAATCCTGTGAGGCAGGCAGGGCATACAGTATTATTATTATTTTCATTTTAGAAACAAAGAAACTGAGATACAGAGGGATTCGGTGTTTTGCTCAAACTCCTCTTAGCCCCTTCCCTAATATCAAGCAGCCACTCACCTTGAAGCTATTGCAGGAGTAAGAGAGTGTTCACAAAAAGATGTCTAGTTTTTGTACTTGACTTCTGCCCAACAGAATTGCTTGCCTTTTCACTGACAATGAGATTATGTCCCTTCAAAGTCACAGGCTCAGGGCCAAAGCTGGAAGGAACCTAAGAGTTCAAACTCCTCACTTGATTGACAAAGAAACAGAAGCCCAGTGATGAAATGATTTGCCCAAGGCGATGTCAGAGGTAGAATTTGAACTCAGGTTCTGTGACTCCAGGACCACTGTTCTCATCACTGTATCCCATTTAACAGGCATTTATTAAGCACCTAACTACGTACTCCTCAGTCTTCAAACTTACTCTTTAAACAAAGAAGAAATGAAGTTCACTGAGAATGCTGGACGACAAATGATGCAAGCACCCGCAGCAGGCGCTCCCCTCGCCTAGGGACCGAGTCCCGGCACTTCTCCAAGACTCCCTTCCCTCATCTGTCGGACCAGGTGACCTCGCAGGGCCTTTCCAGTTCTGAATCTCAGCATCCTACAAACTCACTTTTGAAAGTCAGTCAACAAGCATTTATTAAATACAGTCTAAGAGGGGAGACAACACAAAAACCCCCGTGGGCCAGCACGCACCAGGCAGGAAGAACCGGAGATGAGGAGCAGTGGGAAGATGTTACGGTTAAGAAGAATTAGGAGCTTGGGAGAAGGTGAGGTTTTATCTGGGACTTGAAAGGAGCCCGGGAAGCCAGGAGGCAGAGAGGAGGAGGGCGAGCATTCCAGGGATGTTGGGACAGCCAGAGAAAATGGGAAGCCTGGGGAGATGGAGGGCCGTGTTCTAGGAAGAGCAGGGAGGCATCTCACTGCATCAAAAAGTCCTGAAAGTGGTGAGGGCCAAGCAGAGGATTTCAATCTGTGCACAGAAGCAAGAAAGAGACAAAGGATTCTACCAAAAAGGACAGTGACATAATCAGACTTGTGCTTCAGGAAGCTCAGTCTGCCAGCTGAGAGAAGGATGGACTGGACTGAGGAGGGAGAGCTCAGGAAGGGAAACCAGCCAGCAAGCTACAACAGTCCAGGTTGTGAGGTGGGGTGAAAGCCTGCACCAGGTGGCAGCAGCACATGGTCACACAGCTAGGATTGGTCACAGGCAGCAGGATTTGAACTCAGATCTTTCTGAGTCAAGAAGACCAGCTCTGTATACATTAGAACACACTGCCTCTCCAATCCCATTTTATAGAACAGAGGGCCAAGACTCTGAAAGGTTACATGGCACAGTCATGGTAACACAGTCAAAGCATCTGAAGCAGGATTCAAATCCAGGTCTCTTGATTCCAAGTCCAGGGCATCTCCTATGATACCAATGAACCCTACTGCTTTCAATCACTCCTCTCTGACTCATTAAAGGAACCTAGGCCACTACTTCCAGAACGCTTGGTTGTATGACAGAGGTTCCTCAGAGAGAAGAAAGGCTCCTTCTCTCCCTTTCCATGAGAATGAGATGTCGAGAGCCTCCAAGAAAAGAAGAGCGTTTCCCAACTTCATTCCTATTGTATATGTCACAGCTGGCAAGGGAGACTTTGGAAAAAGACGCTTTCACAAGCTGCCAGAAGCCCTGCCCTAGTCTCCGGGGATGACGAGCCGCTCAAGCACCATGGTGCTGATGTCACGCTGGCAGTGGCCAACGTTTCACTGGTTGGACATGTTGACTCTTGACATCCAGCTACAGGGCAAAGGGACGAACATCCTGTAGAAATCAAGAAACTCACATGCACAACCACAATGTCACTTAGCAACTTTCAGCTTCAAAGTAATTCGTAAACCTATCTCTACCATGAGCAGTTTATGGAAACGTTTGTTAAACTGTAATTTCTCCAATTCTTATTTCACATAATAACTCATGTGCTAGACAAAAATGCTTCCAAAGGGCAAAAGCAATTTGGAACTTACAGTAACGATACACGAGAAAATTATTCGGAAAAGGCAAGTTTACCAGTGAACGATCCTCAAGCATTTGAACTGCATTATGAGCAAAGCAGGGTCAAAGGTGTTCAACATCCCAAGGAAATAAATTTTGAGAGACAGTACAATCAGCCAAAATATCAGTTCACATTCCATGAACACTACCCATCTCATAATGGCCAACCTCACTGTGGGAACACCCTGGCACTAGCAATACTCCAGGGGGCTGTAGGTGAGAGCCAAAGGCAAAGGCTGGTAGTAGGCAAGATGCCACAGCACCCTAACAGCACACATCCAAGCTGACAGGGCCGGACTGAAACTTCACTGGAATGACTCTTACTGCTTTAGTGACAAGCGGAGGAGCTTTGGGGTACATCTAGTTAAAGACACTTTTCAAGAGGCTGAAGCAGGAAACTGTTCTAGGTGACAAACTGAAGCATATCAAAAAGAAACAATGAAATCCTCAGTAGCAAAAAACAACTGAAGTAGACATGGCTTCTATGTGGCAGGTAGCAGCTTGTCACTTAAATCACAAGTAATATGGGCACAGAGACTGTCCTTACTTCTATATCCACAGAATCTGATACAAAACTGAATGGCATTTCTAGCTGTATGACCCTGGGCAAGTCATTTGACCTCTGTTTGCCTCAGTATCTGCATTTGTAAAATGGGGATAATAGTAGTACCTACCTCCAGGGTTGTTGTGAGGATCAAGTGAGATAATATAATTGTAAAGCACTTAGCAAACTGTGCCTCATATACAGGAAACACTTTATAAATGTTAGCTATTGTTATTATATTTTTCATTTCAAACAAGGATGATACAGAAATTAATTCCATTTGAACCCCACCTTGACACCACCTACAGGAATTGAGCGCTTAATCATCTGCAGGGCCATGGATGATTACTGCCTGGAGGGGCCACTCTTTCTTTCTATTACAAGTCTATCCATCCTTGGAAGTTCACTCACATCAGAAAATAACGGAATCAAAGAACCTTGCAGCTGAACCCCAGAGGTCTCCCAGTCCAATCCAAACCTGAACAACTTCTTGCAATAACCTTGACAAGGGTCACCCAGGCTCCATCTGAAGACCTCCAGTGAGTATCTCCCAGGGCAGGCTACACCTACCTCAAAAGGAAGGGAAGCAACTGACCTGAATCAAATCTGCCCTACCGAAGCTTCCAGCTACTGTTCCTAGGTTTGGCCTCCAGCAGAGGCTCCAAGCAGAGTACGTCTCCTCCAAGAAGACTTCACACTTTTCATCTGAAAACAGCCTATTTAGGTATCTTGTCTAGTAGAGCATATGAGCTCTAGGCGGACAGAAGAATGCCTTTTTCTTCATTCTAGCATCGTCTATTGTTGTTTCAGAAATATACACAGGATGCAATAGCTTGGTTTGGTTTTTCAATCCTTAAATACCTATCAAATTCAAACATACTGATACTGGTCACCATGACCCAAACTGAAGATTTCATAAAGGTTAACACACAAGTCAATTGACAAACTGCCCTAACAACAGGATCTTATTGCTAGGTAATAAATTATTACTCTTCAGGGCAAAGCCAACAGAAAATTATTCTCAAACATCTCCTAAGTGGAAGAACTATTGTTAGTTAACTAGCGAGATTAAAACCACCACCAACCAAAACCAAGCACTGTGAAGTTCCTCAGGTTTCTGACATTTAGGGTAAGAAGAGAAGGGGAAAGGATCTTTTTAATCTAGAGCCAACAATGACCTTCATAAACCAAATGTTCCTACTCTAACGATATCTAGGTTTAAATTTACTTCCCATCCAAAGTGACTGCTTTGCTACATCGGAAAAAATTCCTAATGCACGTTTATGGCAAGAAACTCAAGTGGCTTTGCTTAGTATCAGGGCTATTCAAATACAGGACTTTGGTTATAGGCCAGGAGAGGTGGAGCTAGAAATTTTACTTCATTGTAATTCAAAAAGGTAACCATTCCAATCCTAGGAGCTAATTCAAAAAGGTGACCATTCCAATCCTAGGAGCTGGCAACAGTCACGACTGGAAACAGCAGTCTCCAGGGGACTGCCTAGAACTGAGGGATACGAGACAGACTGAAGACTCTCCTAGGAGGTAGTGGGGGCTTAGGACAAAAGTCAATGAAAGCCCAACAACCCCTCCCCGCTCTGACATTTAAAAACCTGGTCAAAATCAAAATCTGGGGGGGGGGGGAGAAGCAATCAGAGGAGGAGAAATTCCAACAAGTCCAAAAAGAAAAGGAAATGAGGATGCTGGGCAGCTGGCACTACTTTCCTGGTGCCCCTAGTGCCAGGCACAAGTTCACTGTCGGGCATCTCAGGGCTGTTCTTTCTTGGCCCCAGCTGGTGATGCCCTCGACCCCCTCTTTTTGCTTCCTGAAGTTACTGGGCTCCTCCGTTTTCCAAGAACCCACAGGAGTGCGGCTGCCCCTCTTGCAAAGGATGGAATTCTGGCTAACTTGCCTCACCCAAAAGACAGTTCTGCTTGTAATGCAAAGAAAAGGAAATAAAACCCAAGAGAACATTTCACGAACTTAATGAAAGATGATAAAACCCAATCAATCAACATGCCTGAGTTTTGAAGTCCTTAGCTACAGAATTAAGAAACAGAAAACCAAATAAGGCAGCACACAGAAAAAAGGAAAATGACCAAACTAGTTCTATGTAACCAGCTGTCTCAAGGGGAACAGGGGAACAAGAAACAAGAAGGGAGAAAAAGCATTCCGCAGTTACTGTGGCTAAAGCAGCTAGGGAGCACACCAGAAACGAGAATGGCTTTCCCCCCAGTAAGTCACATGCATTTCTCAAGCGATTCTTGAGTCTTTTTCTAATCTAAGCCATAAATTAGTTAAAATGTGGGAAAGGAAGAGACAACGCTTTGGGAACCATAACCGTGATGCTCTCTGGGGTTTCCCTCTCCTCATAGGTGAAGACGGTGCAAACCCAGAGGCATCCCTGGCTCCCTGAGGGAGCTCAGCTCCTGGCAGGAAGAGGAGGCATTTTTCTGGGCCTGCTACTGAGACAGAGAGGCAGGAAAGGATGCCTCTGCCTGCCTTCAGGTAAGCTCCAAAACTTGTAAGTTGTGCTCAGCACAGGTTAGCCCCAAATGCACAGGGCAGTCAGCACAAGGCAGAGTAGTAAGAATGCTGGACAGGGAAGAAAGAGGCAGGGCTTTTAGCTTGGAGCCTTAATTTCACCATCTGTAAAACGAAACTCCATTTTGTCACAGAACTAAATGACTATGAGATCCTATAAGACTAAGCCTTTTCTTCAGAGTTTTTACTGCCCCCCAAGGAGAGAAAAGACGCACCACAAACAACTTCGCATGCAGTGGGAGTGGGGAACACCCTCATCTTACCGTAGGTTTGCATAATTAGTCAGAAATTATTTGTTCTCTCTCAATAGTGGGTCTCTACCTCCCATGAGTACACCCCAACTTTTAAGCTCTGCTTACCAACCAGGCTGCTTATTAAGAATGCAGAGAGCTGGAAAATACTTTCCCCACCTTTCCTCAACACCAAGCAAATAGGGTAAGCCAAAGGTCAGGAGGTAAAGCCATAGCATCTGAGGGGAGAGGTAAAGCCATAGCATCTGAGGGGAGAGTCTGACCGGAGAGTCTGACCGAAGCCTAACACCTCCTTCACCCCAAGGCGCTCACTATACCTGAGAAACTTTAAAGTTGTACATAGGAACTCTAGAAAAGCTTTATGATAGCAAACAGAAGAAAACTAAATTACTCTGACATAGCAGGATGAAACATCTTCAGGCTCAGAAAAGGGATGAGGAAATCTACCACCTTAGGTTCCACTGGCAAGGCTAGAGATGACGGGCTATCAAATGGAGGCCTGAGTCTGAGGCAGAGAATAGAGGTGCTACATGTCAATCAGTCAACCAGCTTACTATTAAATGCTTATTTATGTCAGGCACTGTGTTAAGTGCCAGGGATATGTGTATTTGTCTTTCTAAGAGGGAGACAGAGAGAGGCAGAGACACAGAGAGGTGATGAAAAGGAAGAGGGAAAGGGGAAAGAAGAGAGGGAGAAAGAGGAGAAAGAAACAGACACAGGAGAAAGAGGTGACATGAATAAGAAGGAGGGAAGGAGAGGGAAAAGACAAGGAAGTGAAGGGGGAGGACAGCTAGGCGGCACAGTGGATAAAGCACCAGCCCTGAAGTCAGGAGGACCCGAGTTCAAATCCGGCCTCAGACCAAACACTTTACACTTACTAGCTGTGTGACCATGGGCAAGTCACTTAACCCCAATTGACTAAAGTAAATAAACAAGGGGGGGGGAAGGAGAGGGGGAAAGAAAAGGAGAGAGGGAGAGAGGAGGAGAGAGAGAGAGAGAGAGAGAGAGAAAACAGAGACAGAGAAAAGGGAAGGAGGAAGGGAAAGAGAGGGAGGGAGAGCAAATGCATGAGCACTTTTTCCACATACTCCATGGTCTCATACCAAGCTGTTCCACAGAAATGCCCTTTCAAGCAGTTTAAACACTTCAAAATAACGTCACTATTTTATGCCCAAGGGAGCTGAGATTATTCTTGCCCATCAAAAACAAAAAATAACTTTGTGTACTTCCAGTTTATAAAACTTCTGAAAGGCTTAGCTAATTGAGGGTACATTTGTGTGCACAGGAGGGATCACCAACTCTGCCAAGAACACAGGCTAACACAAACACTGCAAAGATAAATTTTAATAAATCTTACAAAGAAGAAACAAAGGCAAAAATGTGAAAGGGATTTATACAAACTCTACTGGTCAAAGGGAACAGCTTAATGGCATGGAGTTCCTCCTTGCCTACATTCTTGCAGGGCTGGGGGAGTGCCCTGGCTGCACAGATCTCAAACACCAACCCTCCTTCCTTAGCCAAAACCCGCTGAAGAGAACATTTTCTCAAAGCCGGTAGCCACTCCCATGTCAGAATTCAGGACTTCCAACGAAACATGGCAGGATTCAGATGAACTGAACCAACTTGAGTGTGCCTCTCTGACTGGAGGGACCTCTTCATTTCCCCTCAGCTGCATTCTTTGGATCCCATCCCACTATCAGCACCTTAATAAATAGTATTGTATCACATTGTATTGTACTGTATTGTCTGTTACAACATCCAAACAGAAATATGCACTCCTGACCTCGTCTGTCAGAAATTTGCTCCCTGAAACATATCTTGTACTTTACATAAGGATTCAGATATATAACCATATGAATCTCTCTCTCTCTCTCTCTCTCTCTCTCTCTCTCTCTCTCTCTCTCTCTCTCTCTCTCTCTACCTCTCTCTCTCTCCTTCTCTCTCTCTCTCTCTCTCTCCCTCTCCCTCTCCCTCTCCCTCTCCCTCTCTCTCTCTCCCTCTCTCTCTCTCTCTCTCTCTCTCTCTCTCTCTCTCTCTCTCTCTCTCACACACACACACACACACACACATTCATAAAGATGGGTTTTTACTGGCAGGCACACTTCAACTGTAGGCTCAAGTTATCCCTACATTCTAATACTGGTCCAATACTTGGACCCAGAAACAAAATAATGTAAGTAGCGGCCAAGACAAGATGGCAGAACGACAGGAAACCATGCAGCGAGCTCCTCATCCCAAATGTTTCAAGCAGATCTAAGAAAGGTACCAGACCAAATACTGAAAGGGAAATGCAGAAAAACTTCAGCCTTTGGCCAGCCTACGTTGGCACGGAGACAGAGAGGAAGGTCTGCAGACACTGGGATGGGACCAAACAAGGAGCACGCCAAGGCAGGCCACTCCAATGACAGAGAGGCTGTGAACCAGATGTAGACCAGGACCTGGCTAGGCTCAGGCCCAAAGAGACGGGGGTCAATTGACACCTCCCAGTCCTGAGTCACAGACTTAGGGTGGATTGCAGAAGGGGGTGTCACTGCCAGGTAGAGAGGCCCCAGGTACTACACTGAAAAAAGGAGAAAGTTCAGAAGCCAGCAGCAGCATGGCTCAGAACTCAAGCTTAGAATGAAGTCTCATTTCCAGCATCAGGCTCGGCCTGCAGAGCAATAATCAAGAAAGGAATCAAGACCAAAAAGGAGCTTACAGCTACACCACCTGGAACCACCAGTGCTTCCCAGCTAGTTAACAGTGGCTGCGCCCAGCAGGGTCTACTCTTGCTCACACTCAAACCTAGGTCGGGTATTCGCGGGGATCAGACACAGAGGGCAGCAGTCAGACCACTCTAGGAGCGCTGAAAGTCTACAAGGTCTCCGTCTGCCCCTCAGACCCCGGAATAACACGACACTCCAGGACGGCAGCGACAGGACAAGCCCAAACCTTCCCTCCAGAAGTGTGCACGGCAGAGCCCTACCATCAAGTCTGAAGTCTTTCAGAAAGCAGGCTGGAAGGATAAACAAAGAAAACAAGCTATTACTATGACAGAGGCCCTCAAAACATAAACACCCATCAGCACAGCCTCAGAGAAAAACACAGCTTAGGTACAAACTCAAAATGAATTCCTGGAAGAGATAAAGCAAGAGCTTTAAAAAAAGAAGTTTCATAAGTGAAATGAAAGTACTTGAATGAGGAACTGGAAAAGAAATGAGAGCTATGGAGGAAAGAATTGGAAAGGGAATTAACAACTTGGCAGAAGAGGTACAAAACTTTGCCCAACCAACAAGCTCTGAAAATGAAAATGGCAGCCAATGACTTCATGAGGCAACAATAAATATTAAATACAAACAAGAAGACAACATAGAAACAACAAGAAATAGTAAAACAAAGCCAAAAGACTGAAAAAAAAAACTGGAGACAATATAAGCTATCTCAAAGGGAAAAAAATTACCTGGAAAACAAACGGAAGAGAAAAAAAATTAAGAATCATTGGCCCATCTAAACAACATGACCAAAAAAATGAGCCAGTCATTAATTTTCAAGATATCTTCAAAGAAAATTGTCCAGACCGCCTAGAACCAGATGACAAAGTAGAAATAGAAAGAACTCAGTCACCTCCTGAAAAAAATCCCAAATGAAAATTCCCAGCAACATCGCTGCCAAAATTCAGTGCTTCCAGATCAGAGAAAAAATACTGAGATCATCCAGGAAGAAAGAATTCAATGTCAAGGAGCCACACTCAGAATCACACAAGACTTTGCAACCAACACCATCAAGGAATGCAGAACGTCAAATATGACATTCCAGAAGGCAAACACTACGGGCTTTCAGTGAAGACTGTATCACCCAGCAAAACTGAGTATAATGCCACAAAAAACAGACCTTTCATAGAGGACTTCCAATCATTCCTGATGAAAAGACCAGAGCTGCCAAGAAACTCTGAAGTTCAAACACAGCAGTGAAGAGAAACATAAAAAGGTAAATCTGAATGAACAAGACCAAGCACTAAACCGGGATAAACGACTTACATGTGAACATGGGGAGAGGATACATGTGTCCTCTGAGAACCCTATGATCATCAGGGTTCACAGAAAGAATCCAATTACACAAGGCCTAGGAATGTTTCTGTTTATGTCTTGATGATTTTAGGAATGGAAAAAGAGGGGAAGAAAAATACACTGGGGGCGGGGGAAGTGAAAGGAAGGTTAGAAAAAATTATCTCACATAATCATGTGGACATGTAGACATCTATACAAAGGAAGGAGAGGTGGTGGTGATGGTGGGAGGGAGAGCCTGATACTTGAACCTCATTCTCATCTGAACCAACCAGAAGAAGGAAGAATACACACACACACATACACATACACACACACACACACACACACACACACACACACAGAGTTGGGAAGAGAAATACATTACATTTCATTTAACAGGGAAATAGGAGAGAAAGAAGAGACAGTGGGAATGGTAATTAGAGGGAGGTTAAATTAAAGGGGAGAAACAAGTTCTAAGGAAAACAAACTCCATGGATAGCTCTTTTTTGAGGTGACAAAGAATGGTAATCTGAGGGGGTGTCCATAAACTGGAGAATGAACAATTTATGGTCTATATGATGGAATACTAAATGTTGTGCTGAACTCTTATCAGCATAACGACTAAGCAGAATTCCAGGGGACTAATAATGATAGAGCCTACCCAGCCCCAACAGAGAAAAGGACTCAGGATACAGAACGAGACAAGTATTTTTTTTTGGACATGGCCAATGTAGAAATTTGTTTTGATTGACTGCACACCTCGTAATGAGTTTTGGGTTTTTTGTGTTCAATTGGGAACAAGGAGTTGGGGTGGGAGGGTAAGAAGGTGGAGTTTGGCTGATTAAAACAAAATATTTTAGAAAAAAATGCAACCCAAAAAAAAAGGAAAAGAAGAAATGCAAGTAACTAAAAAACATTCTCTCTTCTTTAGGTTTTCCTGACACTACTCTATCCTTGTTCTATTTCTACTTTTCTTGATCACTCCTTTTCAGTCTCCTTGGCTGGATCTTCATGCCTGAAAACCATGAGTATCTCAGAGGGTTCTGTCTCAGACCCTCTTCTCTTCTCCCTCTATAGTACAATCCATACTTCACTTCACTTGGTGATGTTATCAGCTTCCATGGATTCCCTTACCTCTGTGCTGATGATTCTCAAATCTGACCTTCAGTCTCACATCTCTAACTATCTATTAGACATCTCAAACTGGATGGCACAGGCATCTTAAACTGAAAATGTCCAAGCTGCACTCACCTTGCTTCCCCAAACCCTCCACCATCTTCTCAGTCACTCGGGCTCATGAGCCTCACTCTCTCAGTCCGCCTCTCTACCCAATCTTTTGTCAGGTCCTGTTATCTCCACCAGGATCTTTCTCAGACAGTCCCTCCTCTCTTCTGACACTGACACCACCATCACTCCACACCAGAATTATGGTAATGGCTCCCCTTGCCACAAATCTCTTCCTATTCTAGTCTACCCGCCACTTGGCTGGGAAAGTCATCTTCCTGAAGTACACAGTTGATCATGTCATGCCCCTACTCGATAAACTTTCTTTATATCCTCAGTGCTTACCACAATGCCTGGTGCAAGGTGGGTGCTTAACATATGCCTGGAGACTCACTAAAAAGTTTAGGTTAGCGGCTTAAGACACACAACAAGAAATTTCTTTGCATGCCTTCTATAAAAGAAATAACTACAAATACAAGAGCAAGCTAGTCTGGCCAGGCAATACGTTAAAGTGCTACCTTAACGAAGGCAGGGTCACAAGTTCTATCAGCAGGAGAACCACATGGTTTTCTTCTTTTCCATGATCCGTAAGGCCAACTAGCCAGCCTGAAAATAAATGTTGCCCTCAGACAGCCCAGTTTCCACCTGGCTCTTCTCATCTGGGACTTTTTTGTTTCACCATGCCCCCAGTAAACTCATCAATGGGAAATCTTAACCACCTTATAAGATCCATTGCCAGCCTTGGTGCTCACATACCTATCCTCAACCCCTCAGACTGAAGGGAGAGCCACGAACACCTCAACCTCCATTTAAGAAGCGGGGGGGGGGGAAGACACATCTTCAGATGCCACGTCATTTCTCACAAGGCCGCACTCATTTTGGACTACTTCTCTGCTTTTCCACCATGCCTGCTACTTCCCCCCCTACTCCTTTTTAGCTTTCTTTTTTGTGTTGTGTTCCCCCATTATATTGTAAGCACCTTGAGGGTAACAACTGTCTTTCTGTATATCTGTATCCTCAGTACTTGGCATACTGCCTGACACATAGTAGGCATTTAAAAAATGTTTATAGCTTATTAAGTCAATGGTCACAAAGGGAACTGGGCAAGAGACTATTCCAATATAAATTCATCCTCACTACTGGAAAAAAAAATCAAAGCATATACTAAATCTGAGTCCAAAATCATTTTTAAACAATTAAAAAAAAAAACCAGATTAAACAATTGCCTAATAGCCTTACAACAGCCAACCACCACAGAAGGAAAATTGGCGTAGAGCTTAGAAGACCATCGGTCTAATCTCACTCCTGCCCCCAAATTGTCTATGCGACCATAAACAAGTTGCCTGATTTCTCCTAGCCTCAGTTTTCTGACACATCAAATGAAGATGTGTTATCTTGCCTAAATCACAGGGTTGGTGTGAGGTTT